CCCCAAAACCCCAAAACCCCAAAACCCCAAAACCCCAAAACCCCAGAGTCAGTAAAGATTATTGAAATCAAATTATGACCCAACTCTTGCCATAAGTCTTCTTCTTTCCTCTCTTAAATTCTCTAGGTCATCTTTGGTGTTCTCAAGGTCTCTTCTGAGTTCATCTACTTGGCTCTCCAGTCTTCTCTCATTATCCCTAGAACTTTTTGTGATTTTGTCAATAGTAATCTCATGCTTTTCCTTTTCAGCCTCCATTCTTGCAACGTCATGCTCTAAGTTCTTGTAGCTAGATTTAAGCTCCTTTAGCTGGACCTCGTACTGCTCCCTGATTTTTGATTCCTTCCTGTTGAAGCCATTTACTTCGGACTCGATCTGCCGTACTAGAGCTTCCTTCTGCTCTATCATTGACTTGAGATGATCAATTTCGCTCAGAGCTTGAGTGTATCTGTCATCAAGGTCGTCGTATTTCTTGTTAAGCCGAGCTTCTTTAGCCTTGATCATGGACTCGTATTTGTCTTCCTTGCGAGCATTCTCAGATTTATGATCTTCCTCTAACTTCTGGATCTGTCTGATGTAGTTATCCTCCTTGATCTTCATTTTCTCTTGCTCAAACTTTAATTTTTCAAGTTTTTCCTTGTATTCTCTGCTAAGCTCTGAGCTATCGAAATCTTTGTTCCTGAACTCCTGGAGTTGGCTCTGGTAGTCGTCATTGAGCTTGACTAGTTCGTTCAGTTCGGAATTCTTGTCCTTAACTTGCCTGTGAAGCCTCTTACATTCTGTCTTGGCTCTCTCAAGTTCATCTTCAAGGCGGTTAACCAAATCTTGAGCGTTGCTTTCTCGATCCTTGCGTAACCTGATCTCTTTATCAATAGAGGTCTGGTCTTGAGAGATTTTGTAGCTCTGCTTGTCTACTTGGTCTTTGTAGTAAGCGACTTCTTGCTGCATGAGGGTGTGCTCGGTTCTGAGCTTATTAAGCTCCTTGACCTCAGCCTTCCTCTTTTCCTCGATCATACCTAAGGTTCTCTCTCTTTCTCTAATTTTGTTATCTAAAAACTGATTGCTCTTTTGGACCTCAACTAATTCTGTGTAAGCCTTCTTATACTGAGAGTTCAGCTGATCATAGGAAGCTATCTTTCTTTCAGCGTCTTCTACTTTTTGGCTATAATCATTATTGAATGTGTCGTAATGCTGCTTAAGTAATGTCACTTGCTCGAGTAGCATCTGGTTCTCCTCAGTTAACAAGTAAAGTCTTTCGTCCATCTCCTTCTTCTCTACCTGGAAATCGGTTAAAATATCAGAATTTTGGATGGTCTTTGCGACAAGTTTGGAGTATTCCCTGATCTTCAGCTCAAGGTTATCACTCAGCTTGGAGTTTTCCATCTCGAGTATTCTCATGTTTTCGTGGAGTTTGGCAATCTCTAGATGGGAGGACTTCAGCTCCCTCTCTACAGTGTAAAAATGGTCGTCGTAGGCTAGCAAGAGGGGAGACATGTAGTATGAGCTGTTGATGATATTCAGTAGCTCCTCAAATTCCTCCGTCTTTTCTTTGTTACCTAGATAAATATCCTCCAGATGTGGAGGTTCAACTCCCATAATGAACTGGCACTTTTTAAGTTCTTTTGAAAGTCTATCGTTGATATTTTTGAGATGTAACAACTCCTTCTCAAATTGCTTTGGGAGCCGGGATTGGTCATTTTTATATAGCTCCATCTCTATACCAGGAGTTATTAGAGTGCTTACTGCCCATATCCTTGTCTATCACAGTGCGGTTATTAACAATCCTAGTATCTCTGGCAAGTGTGTTATCATTCAGGGTCTTAGAGCCACGGAAATCAGTGGTTTTGGCATTGAGCATCAATGTCCGCTCATCTTGGGGTCCTAACATTTGAATTATTTAAATTCAATTATATTTTTCCTGGAAGGGGTTTTGGGGTTTTGGGGTTTTGGGGTTTTGGGGTTTTGGGG